TACATTCCTTTGCACTTAGAGGAAGCACTTTACAGTTTCTCTTTGGCATATCTGAATTGTCAGCATCACTACTCTTGCCATTTGAGGCCATTATTGAGTAAAATAAGGGTGACTTGAACACAAGCACTGTGACACTGTGACGGTCGATCTGATAACTGAGAGGGCTACTAAGTGATTGAAGGGCAGGTAGCGTGTACAGCGTGAAAAGGACCATGTGTTTTTCAAAGAGTTTTCAGAACCTGGCATAGTTCTGACACACAGCACTTAACAGTGAAGCATATATCAGGGCCGGGCCTCCCATGGAGAGGTGAGGGTAGCACCTTGGGTGTGTACCTTTGGCCCTGGTGAGCTGAAATTGTTGTTGTTGTTAATCCTCACCCGAGGATATTTTTCCATTGATTTTTAGAGAGTGGGAAGGAGGGAGAGAGACACAGAGAGAGAAACATTGATGTGAGAGACACATCAATTTGGTTGCCTCCTGCACATGCTCAGGGCTGGGGATTGAGCCTGCAACTGAGGTACATGCCCTTGACAGGAATCAAACCTGGGACCCTTCAGTCCACGGGCCAACACTCCATCCACTGAGCCAAACTGGCTAGGGCCCTGGTGAGCTTAATTAATGCCAGAGAATCTGCATCATGCCCCAGGGTCCCGGGAGACGGGGACTCCGCACTGCTCCCCTGACGCTACAAAGAATAAAGCCAAGGCCCGGAAGGCACAGGGAGAGGGCCTCCGAGAATGAGTCTCCACGCAGAGGCGGGGCCATCTTCCACTCCAGGCAGGAGAGGACCCTGCTGGACGCGCTTACCTTGTGTCCCAGAAGCTCCTTTGGGCATGTGGGTTGGACCTGTTCAGAACTTTCTTTTCCGCAGCACTGAAACTAGAGTCAGAAAAGAGCTTTAGGACCGGGACGGGGAGCAGCAGCTGCACTCTGGGCGCCACTGCTAAGGACCGGGTGCAGCAGCAGCACAGCAGCAACAAGGCCCTGTCACCGCACCCTGGAAAGAGCGGAGCCCCATAATTGTGCAGGCAGAACAAGAAAGTGACTTCTCTAAAGTTGGCTGAGTTTTATGATGGGAAGTGACTCAAGTCAACCCAAACAGGGCACGGAGTTAATTTCAGTGTCTGTGAACTGCTGTTTTTTAGACAGGAGGTGGGCCTTCAGATTTTTCTCTCTCAGCCTGGGGGTAATTTAACCTGCCGGGTGGCTGAAGTTTTATGAGCTTCGGGAAGGGCTCCTTCACTGGGGACAGTCTGGGACGGAGCAGAAGAGTGGCCACAGTGAACTCCCGGGGCTACAAGATCAGGGCTTGAGACTGGCCAGCACACAGGTGTCCTGCCCTGGGGCTGGCCCTTCAAAGACAAAGGAACCTGTGTGCAGGCAGGTCCTGGGGGAGGGGAGGCTGAACAGGATAAATCTGGGCACCTTCCAGGTCATTCCCATGACAGACAAGAACTGGGCGTCCTGAAAACACCTGGCCCAGAGGCATCACTCCGTCTCTGTGTCACGGTGGTTAGGTCCACGGGACCCTGTGAGCCTCCCCTCATGACGGCGTGTAGCCCCGAGCTGGGCACAGGGGCAGGTCTTCCCAGAAGAAAAGGAGCCTGCTCTGTCAGGTGCCCCTTTATTTACAAACGAGGGAGCCGAGTATCAGGGAGGAAGGAACTTGCTCGAGGTCACAGAGCTGCAGCTAAGAATGACCTTTTCTGACCTGAAGGTCATGGTTGTCTCTGTTACACCACAATGCCACCCTTGGAGAGAAGCTGATGTGTATTTGGGCTGCTTTCTGGGCATTCTTATTTGTGCTCTTTTGTCTCTTTGGGACACATGTCCTGACTTCCTCTCATGAACTCTCTGTTGGGCCTCTTCCTCTATTGCAGTGGTTCTCAACCGTTTGGCCCTTTAAATACAGTTCCTCATGTTGTGACCCAACCATAAAATTATTTTCATTGCTACTTCATAACTGTAATGTTGCTACTGTTATGAATCGTAATGTAAATATCTGATATGCAGGATGGTCTTAGGTGACCCCTGTGAAAGGGTCATTCGAACGCCAAAGGGGTCACGACCCACAGGTTGAGAACCACTGCTCTACCGGATTCTCTGCATGTGAACTTGGCTCCCATGAGGGCAGAAATACAGTGTTGCTACTGCACTTGGCCTCATTGGATTTACTCTTGTTTATTTATTGATTGAGATTTACCAAAAAGAAAGTTTTATTTCTTTCTAAGTGTTTTAAAAATTAGGCCTATACAACCTAATTATATAGTAGAACCCATTATATAAAAGCCAAATAAAACTTACAACAACTCTGGAAAACATAAAAAATATAGTTTTTTGCTATTATATTTGCCAGTCTTTGTGAATTAAAGCTGCTTGCTTAAATATCATGGCAAATAATGAATAAATATGCAAATAATGTATATACTATGATATGAATTCCTGAACATCTCTTTAGGTTGGGAAAATAGCATGAGGAAATATTTAGTAAGAAACTCTAGATATAGGAAAATTCTTTATGGATGTTTTCCAACAGTAAACTTACACTACTAGTATATGTATATATATTTGTACATAGAAATACATGTACACATATATATATTATAACATGTAATTTATAAAACATATGCAATATCACATGCATCTTATTTTTAATCCAGATGATCAGAAAGAACCTGGCTTGTGCGTCATCTTTAGAAGATGCGATTTTAAGGAAGAAGTTAAGTTACTTACTGCTGAGTGGAAGGTAATGAGAGTCCCGTTTCCCCTTCCCCTGTCTTTAAGGTAATCGTTATAAGCCTCTTCATACATGGTCTGAACATGTCGGATAGCCTGAAAAGTGCCAGGAAAACCGAGGGGATGGTGAGTGGGAAGTTTCAAACGTTCTCCTTTCATCAAGGAATACCCCCTCTTCCTTGCCCTTCAAAAATATGACCTTTCCATATGTTTACCTGTATTTTTAAGATAATGCTGCATATATGGAACAGATGATAGGTTCTGGAGTTTCTAAGCAACTTTTGACGATGGAAGGATAGACTAATCAAGAATAATTTTCATAGACTAGAAAAGATTTCTTACAGTGGAGGGTCTCGAACCTGAATGGACATCAGCATCAACTGGATGCCAGCCTTCTAGGCCGCCCAGGCGATTGTGATGCATGGCCAGGTCAGGACCTATGCTGCTTGGTACCCCCCTGGTAAAAGTACTCAAATCTTTTCATGACATGGTTTCAAAGGTTTATGACCAGGGAAACCTGTCAGCATTCAAATATCACACAATATTCAGAGAACAATTTTTTCTAGTATGAAGGCCTGGGATCCCAAATCCACAGAAATCTCAAAAAATCATAAGACCAATTCCTTTACTTACTAACATAACCAGCTACCTTAGGAAAATGCCAAACAAGGTGATATTTATTTATTATACATGTTTACCATTTTTTAAAATCTAAAATAATTTCATAAACACCAGAGTGACAGCCTGTGAGTTTATGTGAAATATAGTAAACTTAAGATTCCATTCTTGTTCCTGTCCCTTTTCACTCCTCTCTTTACCACAGTGTGTTTTAATCTCCTAAAAGGCCACTTCCTCTGTGGGCTCTCCCGATGGCCGTTCTGGACACCTACAGTCTGAGCACAAATCTAAATAAATTGGCTTCACTGGCTCACAGCGGTCAGCGTTAGTTTTTGAGGGTGTCCTGGCTCCCGTCCAGGCCAAGCCCTAAGGACAAAGATGGTTACAAGGGATGAGAATGCACATTCTCCCCGAACCCTCTTCCTTATGTCTGCCATCTGACCCCTATTCCATTTCAAACAGGATAATCTTATATTGTTGATCCTTTAAGAAAATCATAGACCCCTTTATAAATCTAATGAAAGTTATGACCTATTTCCCCCCAAAAATGTGTGCACATATGTGCTGCACACTCATATGCTCAGCTCCAAACAATACTTCCAGGTTAAAGAGTTCTGCATAAACAGTATTTGTGGGGATTATTTGGTTTTGTAATATCACTGTGGGTATCACTGTCCTCATTTCCTTTGCCATAACAAGAACACTTTAACCATTATGAAAAGAAACTGTAAGTCCGTTTTACTTACTATATCCTTGCCTATGAAAGCAAACACTCCAGTGGTTACTTCAGCAGCAAATATCACCAGCAGGCAGGTGAAAAACTGCAAAGAGAAGATACTAACTTCACTAATTCAGTAACTTTTCAATGTATCTAGCCTCTTTGATTCTAGTTCCACTTGAAAACCATTAGGCAAAGTTATTACTTTGAATTGATATAGCAAGAAGCATTTGCTCCGCAGTGCCCTTGTAGTTCATTCGTTCGTTCATTCATTCATTCATTACTTCATTCATGTAGCAATTGTTTATTGAGCATTTATTCTGTGCCAGGCACTGTCCTTGGTGCTGGGTGTGCAGTGGTGCATAACTAAGATCCTCATGCCTCTGCTATCATGGACCTCATATTAGGAAGGAGAAGAGATGATAAATGAGTAAAGCAATAAAAGTTGAGTAAGATAATTTCAGATAGCGATATAGAAATCCCACCACCTGTGTTCAGTGAGCACTCGGTAGACAAAAGAGGTTCTGTAAAAACATAAGAGAGGCAGTAGAGAGGGACTGGTGGGGCCTGGCTTTGGGGAAGGTGTGACCTGAGACTGCAGTCTGGAAGCTTTTTTGAGGAGGTGGCGGTGGAGGTGGAGGTGCCCTGGACAGATTTCTGTTCCAGCCTATTGGGTCTGCTCGGATCTAACTAAGCTCAGTGATGAACAAGAGAGAGAGATGCTTGGCAGGGGAAAGAGAGAGAATGGAGGGTAAGGAAATGAGTTAGACATTTTACATCGCAAAAATCAACGACTGCAATGAGCAAGGACAAGCGGCCTAATACACCTGCTGTGTCTGACGCCTTGTGGAGAAATAGAAACACTTCTCTTCCTGCCCGGCTTCTCCCTTCTCCCTGCTTCTCTTAGGCCACGGTGGCATTGGCTGCGTAGCAGTTAACAGCAATTATTCCATGTTTTAAAAGACACAGGCTGCTTGTTAAAATGAGCCACAAGAGGGGTGTCTGGTGAAGGTATTGCTCTCAAATGGCAATGCTTCTCCTGTAGATAACAGCCCTTCCCTGGCTATTGGAACCTGTTAGCTGCCTCACTTGCTATGAAACAGTATTTTTTTTAAAGAACAATCATAATTGCCCCTTTTAATTACTAGATACTTTTCCTCCCCAAACATCTTTACACTAATGACCTCACTCCCCCCCCCCCCC